CTACCAAGTGATATCATTATAAGAGACCATACCCCGTGTACATCGCTGCGTGATACTGTATACATCAGTAAGGGAAACACTTTACATATGCATTAATTATGCGGGCTACATGAATGGGTGCCAAATGGTTATGCATGACAACCGTCGGTATGCCAGACACCAGGAAGACAATGGTTATGCATGACAACCGACGGTATGCCGGACAACAGGAAGGCAATGGTTATGCGTGACAACCGACGGTATGCCGGACACCAGGAAGACAATGGTTATACATGACAACCGACGGTATGCCAGACAACAGGAAGACAATGGTTATACATGTCAACCGACGGTATGCCAGACACCAGGAAGACAATGGTTATACATGACAACCGTCGGTATGCCGGACACCAGGAAGACAATGGTTATACATGACAACCGACGGTATGCCAGACAACAGGAAGACAATGGTTATACATGACAACCGTCGGTATGCCGGACACCAGGAAGACAATAGTTATACATGACAACCGACGGTATGCCAGACAACAGGAAGACAATGGTTATACATGACAACCGACGGTATGCCAGACACCAGGAAGACAATGGTTATACATGACAACCGTCGGTATGCCGGACACCAGGAAGACAATAGTTATACATGACAACCGACGGTATGCCAGACAACAGGAAGACAATGGTTATACATGACAACCGTCGGTATGCCGGACACCAGGAAGACAATAGTTATACATGACAACCGTCGGTATGCCAGACAACAGGAAGATAATGGTTATACATGACAACCGTCGGTATGCCGGACACCAGGAAGACAATGGTTATACATGACAACCGACGGTATGCCAGACAACAGGAAGACAATGGTTATACATGACAACCGTCGGTATGCCAGACACCAGGAAGACAATAGTTATGCATGACAACCGACGGTATGCCAGACAACAGGAAGATAATGGTTATACATGACAACCGACGGTATGCCAGACAACAGGAAGACAATGGTTATACATGACAACCGACGGTATGCCGGACACCAGGAAGACAATAGTTATGCATGACAACCGTTGGTATGCCAGACACCAGGAAGACAATGGTTATACATGACAACCGTCGGTATGCCGGACACCAGGAAGATAATGGTTATACATGACAACCGTTGGTATGCCAGACACCAGGAAGACAATGGTTATACATGACAGCCGTCGGTATACAGGTCTACAACAAGACAATGGTTATGCATATGGGACTATATGAAGATCATGACTATACGTGACTACACTAAAATCATCTGTAATAGGTCTACAGGAAGATCATTGTTCAATATTTACTTCTGAAACAGCATTGTCCACAAGGATTACATGGAGATCATTGTTCATACAGGACAACAAGCAGATCATTGTCCACAAGGATTACATGGAGATCATTGTTCATACAGGACAACAAGCAGATCATTGTCCACAAGGATTACATGGAGATCATTGTTCATACAGAACAACAGGCAGATCATTCTACACAAAGATTACATGGAGATCATTGTTCATACAGGACAACAAGCAGATCATTGTCCACAAGGATTACGTGGAGATCATTGTTCATACAGGACAACTAGCAGATCACTGTTTACAAGGACTTCATGGAGAATACAGGGCTACAGGCAGATCATTGTCTTCAAGAGTCAAATACTCACAGCATAAGGTTTTAAGAAATGTTCAGCCTGGTGTTCCTTCTACTCAGGATCTAGCTGAGTGTCGATATTATGATACGCCTATGACGCAGCTAAGCCATCAAGCAAGTTCTCTACCTGCCCAACTATCATCAACGATAATCATCAACCGTGCTGCTGGAAATGTCGTTCATGTCTAAAGATGATCAGTGCCTTGGTGGATCTGCCAGGCTACAAGAGAAACTATTAATTATGTCCTTTGAAGTCACAGTGCAGAATCCTGAAAACACACAACTGAATCCTTCCATCAGAAATGAGTTTAGGGCATGGGAGGTTCCATCATTCAAATAACGTCATACCTCTACCCTGCAGTGGGGAAAAAAGGTTAATTGTTCTGAGAAATGCAGTTATTGAACACTGTAACCGGCAGCATCTTGTAAATTCGACTCACATCACTCAGCCTTCATTTAAAAGGAATCGTTATTCTTTGAAGGATGAAAAAAGTAAAATCAAAAGAGACTGATACAGTTTAAAGCCTGAGTTTAAATCATAACCACGCAATATTGACTCGCTGTAGTGGAAAGACTGCCTTTGGTCTCAGTTGACACTGCCTCCCATAACGATGGCAATTACTTTCAAACCTCTCTCCTTTTGTTTCAGCTTGAAATTGTTGTATACAAAAATGATTTAGGAACTTAGAACAAAAGCCAAAAGTTCAGGGCACCAAACCACGAGTGTTTTATTGATTTGAATGTTTGATAAAAGACAGGCGTGCTATTTCTGATGCTTGTTACAACACGCTAAAGCCTTTGATGTCATCTCTTTAATGACGCGATACGACTAATCGACCGAAATAGGTGTTGGGTCGGACATCGGAAACTGCTATCGATTCAAATAAAACCATAGCTTGATGACACCTAATCGATACTGTGACGTCATGCAACCGAAATCACCATTTCTTTCAAGCTGTGTAGGTTTATACAGGCCCTTTATTGCAATAGACAGCTACCAATTACGTTAATTCCGTGGCCTGCATTTCAGATGTCTATTTCTGAAAGGGATTTCAACCTCTGTTATAGACACCGTTCACGGACCACGAGTCTATGGACCGGCAAGCATAAAGGGACGGGAAACTGAAATGGACAAGTTTTGTGTAAGCTTTCTCTTTGTGAAATCGATACCGGCGGGTTGATATCTATTTAAAGTAGTGAGAGTGGTACTACACTTTGCTAGGGTTGTTGCAAGTGATTGATGGGGGAGTTAATTGGCGTTCAGAAGCAGATATTGAGGATATTCTTGTTCCCGCCCGACTATTACCGAGCGTGTTGACACAGACGAACAAAGCTTATTGTGACCGAGCCCTGAACACAGCCGAGGCTCATACAGATTAGGGGCAATATATCTTGTATATAGCAGTGATGAATCGTCGATGGCGGGAGATGAAGAGTTATGCTTGTTGATGCCTCAGGGAAACAACCTCGATTATCTGGATTCTCCAGGGACTATACAAACCGGACGCTGTGTCCACACGAGTGATGCAATATCATATTAACTATGATACTTGGAATATACGTCCAGACTGGCTTGAGGAAGCATTAGGACCAGTGTCCAGTGGTACTTTACCTATACTCTTTGCCTGGCAGAATTTGCCGGTATAACCTACTTGTATCTGGTCGTTTTGTACGAGATGTTACATTTAATTATACTAAAACACATGGTCATTTCTATGCTTCTTTCATGTGACAAAGGTTAATGTGTCATACCATGAACTTGTCATATGACTATAGTTCATGTGTCACACCATGAACCTTTCATATGACTATAGCTAATGTCATACCATGAACCTGTCATATGACTATAGCTAACATGTCATACCATGAACCTGTCATATGACTATAGCTAATGTCATACCATGAATCTTTCATATGACTATAACCAACATGTCATACCATGAACCTGTCATATGACTATAGCTAATGTCATACCATGAACCTGTCATATGACTATAGCTAATGTCATACCATGAACCTGTCATATGACTATAGCTCATGTCATACCATGAACCTGTCATATGACTATAGCTAATGTCATACCATGGACCTTTCATATGACTATAGCTAATGTCATATATGAACCTTTCATATGACTATAGCTAATGTCATACCATGAACCTGTCATATGACTATAGCTAACATGTCATACCATGAACCTGTCATATGACTATAGCTAATGTCATACCATGAATCTTTCATGTGACTATAACCAACATGTCATACCATGAACCTGTCATATGACTATAGCTAATGTCATATGAACCTGTCAACCTGTGAATATGACTATAGCTAATGTCATACCATGAACCTGTCATATGACTATAGCTAATGTCATACCATGAACCTGTCATATGACTATAGCTCATGTCATACCATGAACCTGTCATATGACTATAGCTAATGTCATACCATGAACCTTTCATATGACTATAGCTAATGTCATACATGAACCTGTCATATGACTATAGCTAATGTTATACCATGAACCTGTCATATGACTATAGCTAATGTCATACCATGAACCTGTCATATGACTACAGCTAATGTTATACCATGAATCTTTCAAATGACTATAGCTAATATGTCATACATGAACCTGTCATATGACTATAGCTAATATGTCATACCATGAACCTTTCATTTGACTATAGCTACTGTCATACCATGAACCTTTCATATGACTATAGCTAATGTCATACCATGGACCTGTCATATGACTATAGCTAATGTCATACCATGAACCTGTCATATGACTATAGCTAATGTCATACCATGGACCTGTCATATGACTATAGCTAATGTCATACCATGAACCTTTCATATGACTATAGCTAATGTCATACATAAACCTTTCATATGACTATAGCTAATGTTATACAATGAACCTGTCATATGACTATAGCTAATGTCATACCATGAACCTTTCATATGACTATAGCTAATGTCATACCATGAACCTGTCATATGACTATAGCTAATGTCATACCATGAACCTGTCATATGACTATAGCTAATGTCATACCATGAACCTTGCATATGACTATAGCTAATATGTCATACATGAACATGTCATAAGACTATAGCTACTGTCATACCATGAACCTTGCATATGACTATAGCTAATATGTCATACATGAACATGTCATATGACTATAGCTAATGTCATACCATGAACCTTGCATATGACTATAGCTAACATGTCATACATGAACCTGTCATATGACTATAGCTAATGTCATACCATGAATCTTTCATATGACTATAGCTAATATGTCATACCATGAACCAGTCATATGACTAGAGTTAATGTCATACCATTTCCATACCGTTAACAGGAACTGGTAACCGGATTCAGGGGGTGGTATTATACTTTTCTTGTCTGTCGAGATCGAGGATGAAAAGATTCCATTGGATTCTTTGTTTTATTCCCAATCGTCATGGATATGAATTGTTACTCGATCTTGGTTGAATAACATTCAATTTCAAATGTAATGATGCAAACATTCAAACTAAAAGAAAATATAAACGAATTCTCAGTCACAAAGTAGAAGCTCAACTCGAAAGTATAAATACTCGATGTCTAACATCGGAGCAAATTAATGACCCTGTGACGCTCGGAAGGAGATAAAGCCATGAGGCTACGTTATTCAGAGACATTACTGGGATTATGGCTCACACTATGACTTTAGCGTTAATTATGGCGAGAGCCATTAATAAAACCCTGGCTACGCAAATATTTAATTTGCCCGAAAGTCTCCCATTATAGACATGTACTCTGGCCCTAACTACAGCAGCTTGTAGCAAACAGACTCCTATTGGAAACAGCTAGTCTCGTTACAAGGGTAGTAGAAGGGGACGATGTACATCAAATGAGCTATATCTAATAGAATCACGTTAGGATTTATAGGTACTGTACATCGTCGTCGAAGGACAACAGACTCCAATGTGCTTGTCTAGACATTCTCACTTTGTTATCTCAGAGATATATAAGATTTGTACATCCGACCAGATTAGTTCATTCAGCGCGGCGATGACAGGCCGAATTATCATCAGGGAAGCCACATGCTACTTGTATGCCCTACCTAATCTGCGACGGTCGTTTGTCCGGAATAAAAAAAGCTTTTTGTGGAAAACAAATTTCATCCTTGGATACACATAAAGTATGTTTGTCTACACTGTCGTTTCCATACACCAATGCAACCTTTGCAAAGTATTCAGAAGATAATGGGCAAATCGCGATCCCGTTCCAGCCATTGATAGATGTACTGGAATATCTCATTGAAGCATCATCAACCTAAGTCAGCTTAAACTTCTCTCCAGCTCGGCTGCTAGTGCAGTTATTGGGATTCTGAGATTAGAAAAAACATATTTTAATCTATACACTTGCATTATTGTATCTTACATTATTGTATTATCACAGAATGTTGTGTAATTTGTAAATGTAAATTGTGTGCGTGGTGGGTGCTGCCCATAGGGCGAGGCATGCTAAACTATTTTGAGAATGCATGTAATCACAGGTTTTTAGTGGTCCTGTTCATCTCCCCACTATTTTGACTTTTACGTTCAATTGAATCCGTTTCCTCAGATAATCGAGACTGGTTATTCTCTAGTTATGACGTTGTGTTCTTAAAATGTCACGTCAAACTGCCCATGTGTTGATATTTCTGGCTTAGTGTTTCCATGTAAAAACGTTTTTAAAGCTGTTCCAGCTTATTCATATTTTCAATGATGGATATTAGATTCGTAATCCTGCAGGGAAAAAAACATGCAATAGAATAACGGGACCTTTAAGTGACATTGGAATATGTTTTCTACTGAAATTGAGTGAGTTAAAAATATAGATTACATGTAGACAGAAATGTTTTCTTATCAAGATAGTCTCTTTTCAATGCGGGGTTTCTTCTATCAATGAACACCTCGAAGACTACATTGAATTTTACATTGAACAGCTCTCTCTCTTTCTCTCTCTGCATGACTGTGTCTTCTCTCTCTCTCTCTCTCTCTCTCTAAAACTCTACTCTCTTCTCTCGTATTCTGCTACTCTCATATTCTGCTACCATATATCAAGACAATACTGCATGATCTATTCGGTCACAATATATCCATAAACCATTAAACACCACCCAACAAAAAGTCACAGAACATAAACATTGACCTTTAATGACAACGAAACTCTCATCACTGCAGTCTATTGCCCGAGAGTCTCCACAGTATCAAAGTGTTAAGAGATGCCAAATTTCATCGATGTCTGAGCCGAAAAATGACTCCTTTGGCACCAGCGTCTCCAAGACAATAGACTCCTGATGATCAGCTATAAATAAATATGCAACGGACGAGGAGCGGACAACGGGTTATGACTGTCTTAATAGACCAGCGATCCCACTGAATAGCCTCTCGCCCAGGGAGGACAGAGCACATTCATCAAACTAAATGCGCAGTTCTTGGACATTGCGGCAAGAACCTGACTGGAGAGACTAAGCGTTTCAATATACCATGCTCGCGTTGTTCTTGAAATAAATCTTTCTGCGTATTATATAGTGCTGACTCGACAACTTGCATGTAGGAGAGCTCATTTGACATTCAAATGACACCAAAGAAATGGTTTTACGTGTGTGAGGTAAAATTACAATCGCTCCTGAAGCTTTAAGCAGGGATCTGGTTCGGGCACTGACTATGATGAATATAGCGGATAAGGTTAACTCGTTATTGTGAATCCAGATAAAGAATACTTCTGAGTTCTGTTGGTGCAAAGCACCATCGGTGTAACTAATGGGATACGTTGAACCACCTCTTACGTCAAGTGGATTCGGATATGTTTGGAATGAACAATTTGTTTTATTGCTGCAAGTGGGGGTTTTTAAACTGAGTTCAAGCAAGTACGTGTTATATATACTCAATTCACCTTTCCTTCTTACACTTCACATAATTATTTCTATGATGACGGAATATCCAAATACTTTTCAACAATATATCTCCAGTATTGTGATATATGGTATGTGAGTATATTTAGTATCAATAATAAGATAAATTAAGGAAAAAACAAGTTACCTTTTAAAATGCCATTAAATCAACCCAAATGTATCTAAAACTGAAAACTCCTAATTGTGAGTGAGTGACAGGGTAAATGAGTGAGTGAGTGAGTGAGTGAGTGGATGAGTGAGAGATTGGGTGAGTGAGTGAGGGAGGGAGGGAGGGAGTCGGCCAGTCAGCCAGAGGAGTAAGGAAGAGTCGGTGAGTAAGTGAGCATTCAAAATGGCGGTAAACCCGCCCACTCATATTCTGTCTCCCCTCTTAGGCATTACAAATCATGATTTTTTATAGAGTTCAGTGGATCTATCAGTCTGGTTTCTGTGAATATGTATATTTTATGTAAACTTAATACAAGTTATGAATGGAGGTAATGTACGATTCAACACAATGGCTTCTTTCAATATCCACAGTGGGAATACTTGTCATGATAACTGGTACTTAACGACATCTTTCCAAGACCTGTACATCATAGTCATCACTGTTGTCAACGCTTGTTCCACAGTCACATTGAAAGATGACGTAATCTGATTGCATAAAATTCCTATCTTGATGTGATTAATGAGCGGAAGCGCCATCTGACCACATCACTGCACTAAACACATGGGCAGGAAACATAGTCCCTTAAAAACATGCTTTTTAGTCATAGCAGAATAGCAGAAGGGTGATAAGTTGCTTCTGTGTCAGCACATTTAGTTAACGCTGTTTAATCTACTACGTAAAATAGACTAGCCATTAGTCTCTTAGGATAGATTATTTAATTTTGAGAGAAGCCAGTTACAGCATTTAATTTGAGCTCAGAAAGATACGAGATTCATAACATGTACAAATTTAGAATTTAGGGTTTGTAGCACAGAGGGCTGGACGGAAAGGAAAATAATGTGGTCCAGGCACTGTGAGACAGCTCAAAATGTAAAACAGAACAGGTTTATCTTCTAATTGATATTATACATCTACAAAGAGACATTCGACTAAAGTTTCAAATAATATATCATAGCCTTGTTCTGGTACAAACCTACATGAGAGAGAGTTTGACAAGAACAGATAGGATAGGATATGTATGTAGCGCACATATCCACGCAACTAGTACATGCACAAGGCGCTGGGTTTTTTTCCGTTCGATCATTGGATGTCAGTCTCAACGTCACATCGTATTATCAATCTCAACTCCCTGGGGATCATACAACTCTTGCAGCCACTAGGTAAACCCAGTTATTGTGGCTTTCCCATCCTTAGGAGGTACCCACTAGTACATGCACAAGGCGCTGGTGTTTTTTCCTCGATCATTGGATGTCAATCTCAACGGTATATCTTATTATCAAACTCAACTACCTGGGGAGAATACAACTCTTGCTGTCACAAGGCGCACCGAGTTATTGCGGTTTTCCCATCCTTACGAGGTTCCCATTCACAGCTGGGTGGACTGGGACACACAGTCACAGAACTTTGTCCAAGTTTACTGCACGTTGCTGTACCCGCAACTGGGTGTTTGCACTTAATCATGTGGCCACCATCTGGTCATATGCCAACGGATTAGTGGGTTCTTTTAAGAGCACAGGGTTGTGTACTGTACACTAGGGGTTGTGACAACACTGACAGAGTCTGCACACAAAGTTGACTCCAAGGTTTTTACACCCGGACACAGGTGGGCTCGACCCCAACACCTCAAGCTCACTGGATCACTAGCCAGGCGCCTTAGACAGCTCGCCCACCAGATCCCAATAAAGCTGAAATAGTCATTTCGGATTTATTGGTGTAGTATGAATTGATAACAATAGATCATGGTCATCCTATGCAAGGATCCTATCACGTTGATGCCACTGCATCTCGTACCTAATATGCTAGGGGAGTTCTGGTACCTTCGTGGTTGAACTGTTCTTTCGTCATGTAAACTGTCTGAGTTCGAATCTCAACATTGATACAATGTATGAAGCCCAATTAAACCTTGGCAATAGGTTACTGTTAATTACGAAATAAACCTTTACGTTAACATGCTTATGATTCTAAATGTTACTGAACGTTATGCTTTATTAAACATTATTAAACATACGTTTAACTTGGAGAGACGGCTGAAATTTAGCCTAGTCTCAGTGTCAACATTTAGTTAGATATTTTAGTACAGTCCAATGAACATAAGTTACCAAAGGGCAGTATCGCTCCCTGGGATATATATGTATATTGTTCATAATTGTTCACTAAGAGTTGTGGGTTTGACTACAATCATTTGACCTTATTTAAAATGACGCATGCTTCACTTAATGCATGGTAGA